GTAAAATCTTCATCCTTCCACCTATAGATCAATTGTACAATGCCGGATTATTCCTGGGTAATCTCCTTATTGCCTGAAATCCTTTAAAAAGATCTGCCAAGTTGTGACCAGCTTCAGCCAACTTCTTTGCAGTCATTCTTATCCTTGTGATGAATAATCCTATATCTTCATTTGGCGTATATCTAATACTAAAAAAAATTCATCCAGTAACTGAATTATCCTTGCTCTTGTTTTGGGTTCGAATTGCTTCTGTAAAACTTCCCATGCTTCTTTACCACTTGAACATTCTTGTATCAGCGGCCTGAACACAGTTTTAATTCCATAATATAATGTAGTGAAGGCTCTATCTCTCTCAGTGTGAATTCCTGCCTTTCACGCCTTGTTGCACTTTTATCTAATTCTTCTTTGTCCTCTATGAAGCTCCAACAATTTCTATCCAGTAACAGCATTTTCATATCGACTTTCCATTGATCCCAGTTGTCATGGTTTAGCAGCTCAAATCTTCAGGTAGTAATGACATCTTCAATTAAGTGTGAGCACAACAACTTGAACAAACTTCTAAGACATGTCAGCTTCTTTTCGTGGATAATGGCCCTTTTCACCTATATTCCTTCAATGCTGAGTTGAACTGGATGACTGATTAGTTGTTGGTGCTGGGCCCATAACCCTGTTGGCAGTGGTGATGATAAAGGCAAAGCATATTTTGCTTCCCTTAAATAAAGCTAAGACTAATCTAAATAAAATTCATGCTTTATTCCATAAATAAAATAAGCTAACACTGTAGCCTTTACATTTAAAATCATTTGATTGAAAGCAAAACTAGCAAAATGCTAACTGATAATCACACAAGAGAACAAGACATTCGGCGATATCGGCGTACATATGTATAATACTCAGCCAACCCGCCGATCTTGACGTCATCGGCCAATCAGCGGCAACCACGTTAGCTTACTGCCTGATTGACCTCCGATCAAAATTTGCATGTGGAAAACTAAAGCCAACAGTAAAGGTCTTACGCGCATGCATCAACGCGGCGCATGCGCAGAATGTTTGTAGCTTTGAGGTCCAGATTATAGATCATTCCGGATTATGGGTGTCCGAATTAACGACTTTTGACTCTATGTAGCTGTAGATGTAAAAAAAGGTAGAAGTCCGAAGGAGAGATGTCGGGGCTATATGGTGGGTATGGCAAAAGATCCCATTCAAGTACGTACAGAGTCCAATTGGTAAATGCAGACATATGTGGTCTTGCATTATCTTTTGCGCCAGACCTCAGTTCAATGTATTTCCTTGAAAGCAGCATTAACACAGACAAACGTCTCACTGTACACCTTACTGTCAAGAGTTTTATGTTTTTCCAGATACTCTTTGTGGATAATACCATGCCAGTCCCACCAGATACAAAGCATGATCTTTTTGTTAGTCAATTTGAGCTTTGTGACTCTGCCAATGGGCTCACCAGGTGCAGACCAACCCTCTTTTCGGCCTGTGTTGTTGAAGTAAATCCACTTTCCATCACATGTTACAATATGGTCCAGAATTTTGTTGTGTTGATATTCGAGCAGATAAGTGCAGGCCCAAACTCGTCGGTCCTTATCTCGTTGAGTCAGCTCATGTGGCACCCAGCAATTGAACTTGTATGTCAAGTTTATGCGACATATAGCGCTACTGCTGGACATGGCATCAATGTCTAACTCCTTAGGAAGCTATCAAGTAGTTTCATACTGATCATCTTCCACAAATTCTCACAGGCAGCTCTCATCAACATCAGCAGTTTGGCTAGAGCATTCTATTTCTTGAATGTATTAGTCCTTGTTTTTGAACTTTCGGTACCAAACCTTCACAGTGCTATATGATATAACATTAGTACCTAAAGCTCTAGACATGATTTGGTGACATTCTGTAGCTGACGTTTTGCAACAAAACTGGAAGTAAATGATTGTTCTAATCTGGTAGTGTGATAGTTCCATTTCAGACACCTTGTTCTTATAATGGTAATGGTACAGTCAAAAGTCTTTAATCTGAAATGGTCTATAATCCGGACCTCAAAGCTACAAACTTTCTGCGCATTTGTAAAGGCATAATGCATTTACGCATGTGTGTTTAATGTATAATGGACGGTATAAGCTAAGCTAAAATTATCTATTTCAGTTAATGTTGTAGATTGCGTTGTTCCTTAATCTTCTAATTGGATCTGGCTTATTAATTTTTGCAGACTGTTAGAGCAATTTTATTAAAGTGAGCTTGAACTTTCGATTATGTCAAAAAGAATTTCCGATTCTGGAGCTGCCAAAGGATCTACGCAGCGAAAGCATGTTTCGATGTCCATCAAACAAAAAGTGGAATTGCTGCAAAAAATGGATAAAGGCATATCCTTTGTTTCTCTAGCCATTCCGAAATCTGTTTATGAATTTCACGCTGCCCTGTGGGGGGGGGGGACGTCATGGCGTGCAATGAACTGGAAGTTGATCTGTCAGCACTATCCTTATCTTCAGGGCAGATGTTTTTATTTTATTCGGCTTATAATTCCTTACTAAATGTAGTATTTCATCTCGATGTACTCCTTTGATATGATTTAAATCAAATTCCTTGTCATTATAAATATCACGAATATGCATGAAATAGTTTTCTGGCTGCAATTTTCTAATTTCGACTATGCGTAATGTATGATTTATGCATGTGCATGTTGAAAGAAATGCTTAATAAAGTAAACAAATATTAAGCTTTTTTTATGTAAATTTTGATACCCTTTAGATCATAAATGCTCTTTATTTCATAAATTATGGTTTCATATTTTTAATTTTATAATTTCTGCATGCCATCTTACCAGATTTAAATTGATGATCTATAATCTGGAAAAACCGATAATCTGGAATTGAAGTCCCAATGAGTCCGAATTAAAGACTTTTGACTGTATTTTTTTACAAATTTCACAATACAGTGTTTTAAGGCAAGTCTCTTTCAAATGCCAATAATGGTTTGACAAAATATGATTAAACACGGCAAAACATACTGTTTATATTGTTAGGAAACTTTTGTTAAAACCCAATATATTTCTTTCATTTGTACAGAGTTGAATTCAATTTTTATAACCTTGTTAGTTAGTACTTCATTGTAGTAAATGCATAAAATTATTCAGTTACTCATGCTTGATTTGGTATTAGTCCATTATGCTTGTTTACAGTCATAGTACCATTTTGGTCCAGGAAATTAAAAGGTGAATTTTTTTTGGAACCCTTTTATATTTTTGTGGAGCCCTGAAATAAATCTTCTGACAAATAAATGTTATAAAAAGTATTTATTTTTTCATCCACATATAGTATGATGCAAAATTTCAGCTTGATAGCTTCTCAGGAAATAATTGAGAAATTGATGACAAACTTTTGACCATAATAAAAAACATCACGAGTGAGCTAAATAAAAGCTTCTAAAAATTAATGATCCTCTGTAATAAGGAACTTTATGATTTGTCTACTGGAAAGGATTCAACTGCTAATGTGTTTGTGAAGTCATCAACCTTGTAGATGTCTGGTACATGAACCAGCTGCTACAGTTTTGGGTTCACTTTCAATTCCCGCAGAAAGCATGGTGTTGGTCAATCTGTAGTGTCTGTGCTAAATGGAGTTACTTAAAATATTGTCAAGGTGATACTGAGAAGTTGATCGTTGGGAAAGAGGAAAAAGAGACCTTCAGACCCTTGGGAATCCTCCATCAAAATTAGGACCTGGCAAACACCTCTAAAATGACAGACCTGGGCAAACACCTCTAAAATGTTCACGGCCTAGATCAACAACAGGCACTTTCCCTTGCCTTCTGAAGCCATTATAAAATTTATAGACCTAATTAGGTTTGAGGTTCAAATCAAAATGTTTATATGCAGCTTTACAAACATTGTTATAAAGATATCAGTGATGAGGAGTTCAAACTCCACTAGCCACAAATTTTGCCAAATACGATTTTGAAGTAATACCTACCTGGCTGATGACTAGACCACTGTCCTCAAGAAGGTGATTTATCACAATATTGAATTACTTCAAAATGAAATTTTGTATTTTGACATTTAAAGTGTATTGCTTGTGGTGCATTACATTTTAACTAGGTTCCTTGAAATAAAATTATATTAAACACAATCAATAATTGTTTTAAAGAAGCAGGGTTTTTTTTTTTCAGAAAGATAGGATATGTTATAACCATTGTTGTGAAAATCTGGGAAGAAAATATTGTTGGCATGAAATTTTTCAACCTAACAATTTTTTTTTTTAATTAGGTTTATTTTAACTTTTGGAAAGTCAGTTTAACAAGTTTGCTGTTTATAAAAATGTTTCTGGTGATTTCACTTCTTTTTCAAAGGAGAGAAATAGGTATGATGTATCAGGCCAAATATCTTTGACTATGGAAATGCTTTATGTTATGGGAAATTAATTTCAGTAAGAAATAAGAGAAACTTTTCTACATTTCTTGAATTCCGAAGTCTAAATATGGATCTCTTGAGCAAGTTGGTAGAGTTAAAAAGAATTAAAGATGATTGGCTTCAAATTTTGTGCATGCAGTGTTATTGTTCTCTGCTGTTTCAATTAAATGGAATTTACAATAAATTTACAATAAATTACAATAAGTCATAAATTCTAAAATGAAAAGCAATTTATTTTGAGAATTTGTTGAGTACAAATTTTGATTATTGACATTTCTAGTAACAAGAAATATAAAATTACCATGTATTCATGTAGTAGTCGATTCTAAATTTAAAAAATGAGGTTCTACTTATATTTCATATTATTGTAGAATTTTTAGTTGGTTCTTATGATTTAGTAATGAGTATCCATACTGAATGGTTGTATTTTTAATTTATTGTGTATTATGATTTGTTAGTTGGTTTAGTTATCAGACATTGAAATTGATATCTTCAAAGGTAGTAATAGATTGTTCTCTTTGAAGATGTCAATCTTATCTACTAAATTATCATGCTTGGGATTTAAAATTGCAAAATTTTGTTATTACAGAAATTAAGAGAGGATATTTTGCTGATGAAAAAGTATTTTTTGACATGCCACACAGCTTTGGAAGAAAAACTGCTCCTGCAGCTGAAAGACAGACAGCATTTTGTCGAAAGTGCTGATATTTACAGTCTTCAAGATCTCATTGACGTTTCATCAGGCAGTTTGTTAACATATCTTGAGAAAATCCATGCCATGTTTATTCAACACATTACACAACAATGCCAAGTAAGAATACTCTAGTTGTTTGAGCCATATAAATAAACATTAAGTAATAATTATGAAATTTAAGTAATCGTATAATAAAAATAAATTTGAATAATTATAAGTAATTGTAATGGGCTATGATGAGTCAAAAAATTTTTTTGCCTGTGATTTTCTTCAGAAAAGAAAGCTAAGGGTAATAAATATTTCTAAAATTTTTATTATATATTTATTTAATTATAAATATGTATATTATTTTTACTTATTAAACTGAATTATCACTCAAATTCCTTGCTTATTATAGTTAATTTATCCATATGTAATACATTCAATAATTTCATGCCATCTCCTTTTATCTTTTTAAATATCTTCTTCTTGAAAGGAAGTAAAATGAAGCATGCCGACTAATAATAACAAAAAAATAATAATTATTATATAAGTAAAATTTAATGTGCGCTTTTTTGGAGGGGGCAAAAAATTAACTCTAGTAGTTTAAATACTTTTGTTTTCATTTCTTCATATTTTTCTGTATTACTGCTAAATAAATTGGCAGTCATATGGTAACTTAAAATGTAGTAACATGCCCATATCTATAGGTATTACATTCTAAGATATATCTCAGATAATAATGTACTCTATATGAAACAGGTCTTCATGTAACATATATAAATACCATGTGGTATAATATGTTATTCACTAAAGTGGTCAATATTTAATTAAGTATACTGTACACTATACATTGCATAATATATTATAAAAATAATACAAAATATATTGTCTTTCATATATATGTAAAAATGGGGGAAACCATTAACACAAACCACAAAATGCAAAAGGGATCTTTGCAGTGCATTGTATTGCAGAGTATAATTTATTGTTTCAGATGATAAAGGCTATTCATTTTCCTTGCACTGATAACAAACTATTAGTTTCCAATCTGCAGTATGGTCACTGCTATTTTGCTTTGAAATTATTATTACAGTAAATGAAAACTTAACATTATAACACAGCACAAATGAGAATAGAAAGAATGCTAGAAATGGATTTATAATTGTTAATTTAATCAATTTTGGAAAGCATTCAGGAGCTTTCTTACAGAGGGAATGGAGAGCATACACATAAAAAACAAATACAAGAATAGAAATGTCACACAAAATTTATGTCACACAAAACAAAAAGTAGTAATTGATTGAAAAATGTCTTTACAGAAAGTTTTCTAAGGGCAACTGTCCAATATTCACATTGCATGTGGGAGCATGTTGAGCTACCACTGCCTAGTCTTACCTACTTGAGACTGGTTAACCCAGTATCAAATTTAACTATCGTGGAGCATGGACGTATTCAATGCAGTGAACAAATGAACAAACGTGTATTGATGAACCTGTAACCAACATATGTACTTAAGCATCATCGTGTGCTTTCAGTGAAAGTACATGTATTGTCTACATGTTCGTCGAATCAATTGCTAAAGTAAACACAGTCGCATCGATTGTTAAAAGCCGATTATCCAGTTTAGCTGGCATCGGTGTTCCATAAATATGTTTCATTCAGTAAAGGCGGTCACCCCAAAATGACATATTTGTCCACCGGTTGAACGCAATCGACTTAATGCCCACCCCTGTACTAAAACAACAAACAAAAAATAAAAATGCACCTTGTGGTATGGTTTTAACAGAAAAGTACCTCCATTGCATCTTCTCTGTACTTTTGGATGGAAACATATAAGCAGATCATAACAAATAATCAAACATATAAACATATGAGAGATCCTTGGAGTCAAGTATATAAATCAGTATATATACATTTGTAATTTATGTAAATGTAATGACTGTTTAGATTATGCTAAATGAAATTCGCCTTGTTTAAAGTGAAAACAATTTGCATTTAATGCACTGTGTTAGGTGAAAAACATGTTAACAAAAACAATATTAAATGAAAACATTTCTGCACCCTCGCCATATGAATTTTATTTTGTGCTTTGACGGGTCTTCAAATGCTTTGGGGGCTTTTATGACAGTGGTGGTTAGTTATCTTTAGATGATCTCTTATAAATGTCTGAATGTTGGTAAAAGTCTCGCTAATATTAAAAACAATTATTATTTCAAACTTCAAAATAAATTATGGCCATACACTTGTATAATAGTTTTTTTTAATGATGCATAAATCTGTTAATATTATTAAACACTAGATATCTACATAATCGGGGAAAATATTTATGTAATCATTTTATTAAAAACAATTGTTTTATACAATCATTACTTATTTATCATTTATCTAAAATTTAAGAATATATTCTTGCGTATATTAAAAGTTTATGGTGCATCAAGATCTCTCTTTGATGTCATTAATTTATGTATGTGCTACTCTTTCATCATTATTATGATTCATTTATATTTAATTAATCTTATGACCTGAACGATTAAGTTTTGGAAATTAACATTATGTGTTGTTTTATTAATAATAATACTTTTATAAACATTATAACTACATATATGGAAAGGAACTACCTGCATTTTATTACTATGCAAATTACATGATATACTTTAGATCAAATATCATTTATCAAATAAAAAAATAATATTTTAATTAACTGTTAATTCAAGTATTACTGCATCCTTCCTATATTTGAATTCATCTGTTTTTCAGTTACCAGTGTCGTAAAAAGTTATCTTTTTTACAGACATGTGTTTCTTTTTATAGATATGTGCTATGCGATTATTTTAGGTTATCTCACTTTATCTTGTTCTTTTATACCTATTCCTTGCACAGGGGAATAAAGTTATTATCAGAAGACATATTTAATATAAATTTTATCCATAATAAAATAATTTCATAATAATAATTTCACTGTACAGATTGAAATTGCCTTATTTATTTTCTTAATACTATTATTATTATCATCATTTTTTTAAAAGATAACTGATCAGTTTTATAAAATTCAAAAATTTCTAGTGTGTTATAACTAAATTTCTCAGTATAGGAGTTTAAAATAATTGGCTGTGGGACAATAAAAAAAGTTAACGGTTCTGGAAAGATTGCAAAAGGCTGTAAAGTATGTTCGAAATTCAGTGATAATTAATTTGGCATTAACTAGAAAATTTTTAATTGAATTTTAAAAAGTCAAGAGTGAAGAATTTCTGCCAAAAATTTCCAGCTCCAGCTTAGTTTGGGTTGTAGGGCTCGGATACGGTTTCACTCTTACCATATCGGAGCTTAGGTTAAAATAACACGCTAAGCAAATATTAATTTAGAAGTCAAACAGCAAAAATGAGCATTATATTTGCAAATATTCACAGGACTTTTACCGAACCATCAGCTTCAGCTGCTAAAGTGCCCCTCCCCAAAAATAAATATAAATAACAGATTTTAAATTTAACAACATTTTATTTTAAAAATAACAGAAAAGACCTAAAAATTTCTTCCCAATGTTGGGAAATGTGATTTATTTAGGAGGGAAAAAAAGTATTGTAGAAAATTGCTTAATAATATCTTTATCATTCTTGTTTTGAAAAAAGACAAAAATATTTATGTATCTGTGAAAATTTTAAAGCATCATAAAGCATAAATTTTCTAATGAAAAAGTATATAAATATTAGGTGAATAATTAATGAAAAAAGATTGCAAGAAATCATCAAACTACCCTAAATATCCTGAGTAAGTAATCATCAAAGAAACAAACATCAAAGAAACTGGAACACTGTTTTCTTGTAACTAATAATCCAAGGATTGAAATTCTAAAGTATGTAGTGCAAACATTAAACAGCAATGTATGTGACAAAAACCATAAAAAGTCAGTATTAAATAATACAAATTGAAAAATTAAAAATAAATTTAATTTCAGAAAAGTAGCTGGTTGTATGAAAACAGCCCCTTGCTGAGAAGTCGGTATATTGAATTTTGTAGTTCCGTAATGTGTGATAGAGGTACAAGCAAACTCTTTTTATGTAAATTTGTAATTCTGATTTTAAGAATTAATTCAGAATACTTACATATTTCAATTAATTTTGCATTTTACTGTAATATAATTATTAATTAACTAGCAGCATGAAACACTTCAAAACCTAACATCTCAAAGGAACCTTGATGAATAAAATAAAATAACCATTAAATATGGTTAACACTTACAGAAAAGAAGAGAAAGAGAGGGAGAGTAAACTACCCCATCATTTAAAAGGTTGAATATTTGTTAGTGCAATTCTGTTTTGAATGTAAATGGTATTATAAACGTCATCATTAACATTAGTGGGTTTTTTAAAACAGATGACACTCTACAGAACTAGAAATTTGCAGTTGACATTTTTGTGTATTATCCAAAGCATATTTTATTTATTATGCTAATATTATACGTAATTGTATTTTATTGTTCCACAAAAACATATCACCAAAGTGTTCGTGGTACAAAAGTTAAAATGTATCACCAAAATGTTAATGGTACTCAATATATTTTGCATAGTGCTATTAGGCAGATGAACTAACTTTTTAAATAATTCGCTTTCTTAAGCAGATGAGCAATGGATATGGAAGATAAGTAAAATGTCTTTTGTTTTATCAACTGTCAATAGGTTTTCCCATCCAATGTTTCTGATCTTCCATTGGTCAGAAATTTATCTTTTAAGCGAAAACAGTAACAGCCATTTTAGTAATAAAGCAGCTTTTTATTAAAGTACTTAATGAGAATTATTAACATATTTTCATACTCTTTAGATTCACTAGTGAAATTTGTTTTGTATTTGAAGTGTGTATGTGGGAGGGAACTCTTTTGAGTGTAGTGTATATGAAGTGTGGATTCTGAATTAAAGACGTATTATAAGGAATGAATAAATGAAAAAAAATTCAAAATTGGATGAAAGAGTGTTTCCTTTAATGTGCATGATTTAATACCAGAATTATTATTTCAGGGCTGTCGTGGAAAGGGTTTTATCTGTGAATTGTGTAAATCTGATGATGTGATCTTTCCCTTTGATCCTCGCACTGATATTTGTACTACTTGTTCATCAGTCTTTCATCAGTAAGCAGAGATTTTCAAATTTAGTTCAAAACAACTTGTTTCTGTTTTGTGTGTTCTTATCTAACAAATTTTCTGACTGTATTATAAATAAGCTTATTATTAAAGAAGTTTTATCTTTCCCATTATAAGACCAGCTTCCCTAAACCATTTTTTATAGAGATATGTATGTGCAAATATATAACATTGGTTCAGAGAACAGCCCATTGTTTGGTCTCAGTTATTCTCTTAGAACAGTGTTCTGAGATTGGCACTAAAAAAATGTGTCATTCTCTTTATTTATTCAACTAACTAAAATAAGAAAGATATTTCTTATGTCTGGAAAATTTACCTCTATATTATTCAAAAATGTAATTTTAAGTTTTATAGGGAAATTTGTAGGTGTAATAGAAAAAATACATTGAGCACATTAATCAGTCATTGGTACTGTAACTTTGCTTCTAGCATTTTTTGCCCAACTGGCTTAGAAATGCCAGCATGTCATAGGAACTGGGACTTAGAAAAGCAATAAACTTGTCAGGAAGACTCAATAACTGGCATGAAGTGTATTGAACAAAGTAATCTGAAGTGCAAGGAGTATTGTAGAAAATTGTCCACAGAATACATGCAATAGGCAGCACAGTTGTTCCCACTAAAACAGTGTGAAGTCCGAGATCCAGATGTCCAGTATCTGGAATGTTCTAAAATGCGGACCTTAAAACCACCAACCTTTTTTTTTAATACGCTTTACGCATACACATTTGATTCCCCCCGTGGAGTGGAGTGTTCTGATTCTTAATTTTACTTTGGCACAAAATAAATACCTCGCTATTGACGAAACAGTAATTTAGCATAAATTTGTGTAATCAATAATTTGGCTTCATAGCTACTTGGCACACAACTCAAACTGAAACATTCTACATAGAAACATCGTTGATTTTATGCCTTCTAATATTTTATATCCCTGATGCCAACCTCGTGAATCATTATTTATTATATTTGCTTTCATCACTGCATGCTTATCAACATGGCAATTCTTTCTATACCCAAACAATTCTTTTCGTATTAGTAATTTAAGTAATTTAATAGCAAAGCATATGGTAACCTTTTATGTTGACAGTACATTTAGCAGTGAATGCAGATTTAAGTTAAATGCCCTAAGAAATGTTGATGAGGAAGTTAAATGCCCTAAGAAATGTTGATGAGGAAAGTTTAATGAAAATTTCTTTCCATATGCAAAAAATAGATTTTGTGAATGATACTCATTGGTCAAAAGATTATGTTTAGTCCTATTTGAATTAAGAATAACTGATTTGTTATTCACATAAACCCAGAATCGGTGCCAGGGCTCGTGTGGCTTCGATTTAGAGAAGCACCGATAAACAAAATTAAGGGATGAAATTTTTTTTTAATTTAGAGAAAGCACTGAGATCCAAAATTTAGGGGTGGCAAAAAAATTTAGACCTTTTGGAAGTGCTTGGTTACAGAATTTAGGACCCGCAGAGACTGCATCAGGCGGTAAGATACAGTGTCTCACAAAGGTGTTTGCACACTTTAAAAATTTGCTTTCATGCCATCTCCATGTAATTTTGAATAAAACCAAACATTATAAGATAAAACATGCCACAAAAGTGACCATACACTGAAACATTTTCGTAAAATTTCATAAATAAAATTACCATCTACTACTTTTTTATTATTTTTGCATTTTGGTTACATTTAAAAAATTGTTTGGCTTCAAATTTTGCTTGCTTATTCGTTAATTTTATTTAATATTTAAAATTAACTTGTAGTCATAAGGAAGCAACGAACAGCATTCAAAACTTGATCATAATTATCATAAAGATGGAAATTTGATTCGGGATATCGCTAAATTAGTAAACTTCACCATTAATTTTGCAGTATGTGATAAAATGCTCTAAAGAAGATACAGTAAAATTCCAGAAATCCACAAAGCTTGGGACCAGAGGTTGTGCGGATTTTTAGTACTTTGCGGATTTCAGGACAGAAAAGATAAAGCATAATATTCGGACTAAAAGTGCAAAATGAATTAGGCGTATTAGATATATTTAATTAAATTATTATATACATTATTGCAATAATTTATTATATGCATTAATCATTATTACATATATAAATTGATTATATTATTCATTGTATTATATGTACATAGCATCAAGGTTTGCCGATTTCGCCTCATGCAAAGATTTCCGGTTTCGGATTCCTGTGTTAGAATCACTGTTGCTGTAAAATTTCAACAGCTTTTCTTTATTTTTCCATATATCATACACAATCGTGTTGTAATTCCATACCATTCTGCTATAAATCAAGGAGTAGCACCTGCTTCCATCTTTTGCAGAATTTGCACTTTTTGCGTTACCGTCAATGCAACGTGTTTACGTTTTTCAACGTTGAAAGCAGTAAAATCACGAGTGCGTTTCTTATCTGTCATTGTATTAAAAAGGGCTGAAATAAAAAATATTCTTAATTTATCAACAAAATATCCGGATAAAAAAAAGGCAGCACTAAACAATGTCATGAAATGAAATAACGAAGCTCAGAAAATACAACAACGCAAATCGTGAACTTGATCAAAGAGTTGAGTGAATTGTCTGCTTTTTTACCTTGATGCAGATTAGGGGGGGAAAACTTATTTATTTTAAACTTTTTTATATCAATAATTTGGTATTTCTGTTTTGACTCATTATTGTTAGGTAATTATGACGTCATTTATTCGGTAAGTAATTTTTTCTTCGATATTTCGTACTCAATGTTGCGGTTTCCGAAACCTATAAACTGAATGTTTATACTCTGAGAGGCAATGCGGATTTCAGGAGTTGGCGGATTTTCGGTATTAAGATCCAAAATAAAGTAAGAAAAGGTTGTTTGGCAAGGAGGATTCAACGTGATCAGAGATTTATAATTAGAAATCTGTGAGAAATCCACGTTTGAGTGCTTTAAAGATTTCTACAGAATTTACTGAAAAATTTTCTAATTCAATTTCTCTTAAAACTGTTTGTTTGGTGCTTAGATCAACTGGATTATAAGGGCGCTCTGTTCAAAGGAAATATTTTGGAAGTGCAAAAAATGGAATGCTTAGGCTTTTTTCTTAGATCAGCTGGATTACAAGGGCACTCTGCTCAAAGGAAATATTTTGGAAGTGCAAAAAATAGAACGCTTAGGCTTTTTTTTTCACGGAAATCGATGGTAATTAAGCCCAAAGCTTATTGGAATCATGTCTTATTTGCAGATGAAATCAAATTAAACATTTTTGGTTCTGATGGCCATATAATTGTATACAGGAGGAAAAAAAAAAAAAAAAAAGTACAGAGCTTAATCCTAAGACCTGGGGTGGAACAGTAAAGCATGGTGGTGGAGGTGTTCCAATGTGGGGGTGCATGTCAGCATCAGGATTAAATAATTTAGTGTTTATTGATTGCACAATGAACCATGCTCTTTATTTAAATATTTTAAAAGATAATTTAAAATTATCTGCCCCAAATTTGGATACTGCAAACAACTTATTTTTTATCAGGGTAATGGTCTACTAAGCATATGGCCCTCAACATTCGCCTTTTGGATGTCTATAATCGTCCACAAGTTCTGAAAACACCACCTCAGTAACCAGATTTAAATCCAACAGAACACATTTGGAGAAAATTAGAGGTTAGAGTCGAAGACACAACAATAAAACAATAAACGAACTAAAAAATAGTAATGATGGAAGAATGGAGGAACATTGATGTAGACATTGCAAAAAACTGATGAATTGTATGCCCAGATGTTTGAAAGCTGTCATAAATACTGCAGGATATACTACAAAATACTAACTGACAGAAATACTACAATATTTACTAACATGGTGCAGATTTCTTTAAAGCTTGCGAAGACTTTTGTGAGGTAACTTTTTTGTTACTTTGTTATTAGTGATTTTCCAAAAAAAAAAGTTTTATTCTGTTCATAAAATAATTAATGCAGTTTTGTTAAGAGAAATTTATAGATATTATTAAAAAACTTTCATTCTAAAATGTTAATTTTTATTAATGAATAAATAATGTTTCACTGAAACTCGTAAGAATTCAAACACTTTTTTGAGCTACTGTATCTAGCACTGGCCTTTGATAAGCCTTTAGTATATGTGAAAATTTATTTATTCAGGACTCAGATAACGTTTAAGCATGTTCAAGAAATAGACACAAGTATCATAAATAACTAAACTAATACAATTCAGGCTTAATTGTCTCTGTGCGATAGAAGAAAGACAAAATTTAGTGGAACAACAACTCATCTTTCATCTCCAGTTTCATGATACATAGCCAATAATGTATAGCGGATGCTATTAAACTGTGTATCAGGAAATCTAAAGATATGCTCATTTTAAAATTATTTTGCAATATTGCCGTTGAATTGAATTTTATGGTTTAAGTGCGAAGAGCATGATACTTAATAAATAAAGTTAACACACAAAACTTTAAAAAACAGCCCCTTTGGGTGTAATGTAAAATCTGAAAGCTTTCAGTTTTTTTTAATACCCTTTAGGTCATAAATTTTATAATTTTTACATGCCATCTTACTAGTTTTAAACTGATGATCTAATATCCGGAACAATCCTAAATCTGTAATCTCCGAAGTCCAGGTCTCGGATTTTGTATAGAAATTTTTCATGATGCTATATTTCAGTACTGTGGCAAATAGGAAATAGTAGATTTCCAACAAAACCCAAGCAACATGACAATAAGTGAAATTTTGTGGGAGTAGAGGCTAATTTCTGCATACAATAAGGCCACTTTAAGATGAGCATTTATCTTGAAGGATGAAAGAAAAAAATTAACATTTTCCTTCAAAGTTTACTTTTTTTCTGAAAAGTTAAAAAAGTTGCAGATGCACAGAGAAAGATCTGTGCTATTCATGGTGAAGATGCATTAACAAAAAAAAATTTTTTTTTTTTTTTAATGGCAAGTGCAAATGCAGCAGTGCAAATCGTAAGAAAATATTTATTAAATCATATAGCACTAGTTTGTTTTGATTTATGACTTTTTGGAATCTCCCCAGCAGCTGGAAAATTTCCTTTTCTAAAAAAGTTATTAGGCATATTGATAAAGAAGAATTGATAAAGTTATTTTCTTCTTTATTTACAAAAAAAGTCTTTAATTTGAATGAAAAAGTGGTTTCCCAAAGAAAAGGTAGTTTTTAGACACCCCGATATATTATGTTTTTGGTACATTTCATGGGCTGAAAAATGAAACTCTGCAGTGTTTAATTTCTCCCATCTTATATATCTTCATATAGAAAAGTTGAACAGTAAAAGTTATGTAAATTAAGTATTAAACAGTCTTTATTGCTTTACTGTTACTCCTAAAATGTGGACTTAAAGGCCTAGATTTTTTTAAGTTGCTTTGTTATATCCAAACGAATTTTAAAGTGCAGTGTAACTTCAATTAGGTAAATTTTCTACTATTCAAAATTTTGACATTAGAAATATCTTAAGATTTTTTGGGCCATTTTGTTGCATTAGTGTGCGATTTATAGCAAATATAACTTTTGTGTGAAACATAAGATCTTTATCTTTCATATGGCTTGACAAATAGCCAGCCATTTGGCATAGCTTAAGCCTTTATTTTTTATCTTTAGCATTATAATTACGTAATAAACTGAGCAATTTGAAAGCAAAAAATTCATTTCTCAATACTTAAATCTGAAATTTTCTGTAAATTAATACATGTTTATTAAAGATACTGCATTTTACAAGAGAGACAATTTTCTAAGACTATTTCTCTTTTATAGGCCAAAAGCAAATGGGTTTGAGTATACGTATTTATTTTTTTACTGTGTACAGAATGTTTTGGTAAATGCTGTGGTGCTTAATATACTTTATGTTAAAAAGAAAACAGAAAAATTGTTAACATACTAATAAATCACCTTCAAACAGGCCAAAAAAATCAACTTGAAATATTTTTCATTTGCATAATTAATAAATGGCCTTGAAAAAGCGTTTATTTTAATTGTTTTCAGTTGGGGTAGTTTTTATCCCAGCACATATGCTTCTGAGTTAATGAAAGATGGTTCCAATGCTGTATTATTTACCTCAGGTACACTATGCAAAAAAAAGGGGAGAACAGTTCCATATTTCCTGTTCTACTGGGCCGATTGACAAAATTCAAATTACGTTTTTCATGTCTCGAAAGCGCAACTTGGAAAAGTATTAGATTTATATATAGCACTATTCTAACATAATTATTTTGACACAAAATCGGACATTTTCTGCAATAATATACCAATTTTTTCCCATATTTAGATTCTATAACTCAAATTATTCCAGACTGCCAAGTTTTGAAAAAATTAGCTTTCAAAATTTTAACTAATCAATGTTAATTGAATTTGGCATCTATTTATTAATATCTCTTTTTTTTATTAAACTTTTTTGATTTTTCCTTTCGCATTTTGAAATTTAGGTTCATTCCAAATAAAATTCCAAGTTTAAAATAAATGTGTTTTATTTTAAAATTTCTATTTTTAAATAATTTTATAAATTTTTCAAAAAAACATTTTGAATTATAATCTATAAAATTTTTTAAAGTAGGTTTAGTTCTATGCATACCTGCAAAAAATAAGAGTTTTCTAAGATATACACGAATTAACATATTTTCGTGTTTTAAAATTTGGTGGGGTTTTTTTTTTTTTTTTTTTTTTTTTTTTTTTTTTTTAAGGATAAGAATGCTAAATGTGGTTTATGGATTTTTGTTACAATGAATTGCCACAACTATTTTTAACCTTAAATTTGAAATAAATTTTAAATTTTTCAGAGAGTTAATTATACGGAATTTTTTCCCTCAATGATGCGTAATAAATATTTATTAATAATATATGAAAACCTATTTTTTTAAATTATAGATATTATTCAAATTTTTACCTTTTTTTTAATTTCTTTCTTTCTTCCCTTTTTTAAAAAATATTTGTAAGAGTGAATTTTTACCTTCGCCAAGTTATCGTCTGCTACTTTACTTTGACTGTATTTAAATTGAATTGTCTAAAACTGAAAAAGTTCATTTGATGTTTATTTTCACAAAGTTTTTATGCAAACAAGACATTGACACTTTTGATCATGTCCCAGCTTTAAAAAACATATATATAAACATAAAGTTTTACATTAATCCTCCTAGAAAGAATGAATTCAGGAATTTATCAAGTGACGTATATAGATACCAGCTAAAGACATCTTCCCTCTTGATGAAACCAGTCTTTCCTTTCATCTCATTCTTTCAAAATGCTTAGCCTGTAAAGATTGATAAAGGCTCTGACCAAATACTGATGAAATGGATTTATTTGGATTATTAAGTTACAGCAAAGCCGGGCCATCTGCCTTAAAGAAGGGATGCCTTCGTGAAGAATTTTCTAAGCGAAACCAGCTCGTATACAAGTTGCACATGAGAAAAACAACGAAAACGCCCATGCAACCAGCCCGTTCGCCAGGATTCGAAACCCGGAGCGAACTACCAGTATTCAGCAACTTTACCGCTTGGCCGTTTGTGGGCCCTTTTGAAATGGAAGGCAATAAATTTATTGTCAGAAATACCAAGATGTTTCAAAAAGTTGGATGCTTTTTAATGTACTTGCAGAATGCCTGATAAAAAAAAGCAAGCCATTAAGAAGAAAAAATAAATTTTTGTATAAAATTTAGTATTAATTTTATTATATTTGATTCTTGCAATTTCAAAAATAAAATATGAATAATATTTTAAGAAATTAAATATAGGATGATAAAATTGTGTAAAGCAATAAGCACAATGATAAAACTGTTTAAAGCAATGTATGCAAGTCATCCTAAATTAAAATGTCGGATATGTATCTCTCTTATTCATATATCTTTTCTGAATGGAACATTGAAAGGCGTGTTAACTGTGCTTTACTGTATTTTCATTTTTAATATAGGCCGTTTTCAAACGTATCATTGTCTGGGTCACAAAATATTCTTTCGAAAGTAATGCAACTCAAATAAATAAAATCAAATTCTGGAAAATTTATAGTAATAAATGTATTTAAAATATGCAGTTTGAATGAATGAATAGAAAATTTTAAAACAATTATCTGAAGACACAATGCAACACAAAAAATTTTGTTTTCATGTCTGTTTTGTTTTCATGTCTTTTTCAAGTCTAAAAATTCAAAAATTATCTAAAATAATAAGACTAAAAAAATATAGTACAGTACAAAGTCTTTAATCCGGACTCGTCAGGATTTCGGCGATTCCAGATTATAGATCATCATTTAAATCTGGTAAGATGACATGCAGAAATTATCCAATTAAAAATATGAAACCTTAATTTATGAAATAAAGAGCACTTATGATCTAAAGGGTATCAAAATTTACAAAAAAAAGCTTAATATTTATTTGTTTACTTTATTAAACATTTCTTTCAACGCGCGCATGCGTAAAGCATATGTTACGCATAGGCAAAATTAGAAAATTACAACCAGAAAACTATTTGATGTGTATTCGTGATATTTATAATGACGAGGAATTTGATTTAAATCATATCAAAGACGGAGTACATCAAGATGAAATACTATATTTAGTAAGGAATTATAAGCCAAATAAAATTAAATTATATCGGAGTACATCGAGATGAAACACTACATTTAATGAGGAATTGTATCTGCCCTGAAGATGAGGATAGGGCTGGCAGATCAACTTCTAGTTCATTGTGCGCCAAGACGTCTCCCCCCCCCTGCAAAGCAGTGTGAAATTAATAAACGGATTTCGGAATGGCCAGAGAAACAAATCACCTCTCTGTCACTTTCTTCATGCCTTTATCCATTTTTTGCAGCAATTCCACTTTTTATTTAACGGACATCGAAACATGCTTTCGCTTTGTAGATCCTTCGGCAGCTCCAGAA